AGAAAAAATTCAAAACCAAAATTAAGGAAAAAGGCAAGACGTTACTTCTTACGTTGGTGAAAACCTTTTATAATTTCGGTAAAAAATTCGAGGCGCAACTTATCCTCAGATACCTTTATAAAGGGTTAATCAATACCACCCATTCTTTGCACAGCAGTTCGTTTCAATTTGTCTTAACGTAATCATATTTTTCCCCAACAATTAAGGTTGACTAAAAAAAACTTTTCTTCATAAATGTACATAAAATAGTACTACAAATCTCCTTCACGTGGAAAATGAAATTGTTCACAGCACTCCCCGCTTCACACAAACATTTTGCATACGCATAATGTGGCTTACGTCACAGTTCACCTGTTACCCTTTTTAATGGCAAAACTAGTTACAAGTAATTAATTTTAGAGTGTACACTTTTTTGCTGTAAAGGTTCTCAAAACAAGAGTTCAATAAAGATATTCTCGAGATTAGAAAAAACTGACAGACTTGCTTTTAAAAGTGATATCGTTCCAGCTGTAAACCTTTTAAAATCAGTAGAAACCACCCACTGGGATTTTTTATTAGTATTTATTAAGGACTTTTCTAGAATAGAGCTAAGTGTTTACAAAAATATTGATCTGTAAAGACAAATTGATACAAGTCACTGTGCAAAAGCTGGAGAGTTTATGTTCTACAGTTGAGGAGATATTTGACAATAAGTGTCTTTACGAATTCTTTGACCGCATTATAGACGAAAGCTGATTAATGAATGGTCACCGCATTAGAAAGCGTAAAACAGCTAAACTCTGTGTGTGTGTGTGTGTGTGTGTGTGTGTGTGTGTGTGTGTGTGTGTGTGTGTGTGTGTGAGAGAGAGTTCTTTTGAAGTACAATGTTATAATAATCCTTGCTCACCATGGGAATGTAGTAATAGGACTTCAAACAGGGTAGATCTATATAATTATCATTTTATGTTGGATATCGATTATCAAAAATAGAATAAGAATCAGTGAGGACTGAGAAAAAACATTTTTAATGCAACAATTTCAATGTCATTCTCTTGACAACGTGTTCAATGGGAATTTCTTTCTTTTTTTTCCTTTTTTTTTAAAGCATATTATTCCTCTTTTAGGCTTCTCCAGCGTTTAAGTGTCAGTGTGTCTCTCTCTCTGTCAGTTGAGCATACTGGCCAAACTTCACGGCATTAATTTTCAAGTGGTTCATTGTCTGATGGTCACTGAGTTTCCTAATAAAAAGGAAAATGTTTGGTGGGGCGCACCTAAAGTATTGTCCAAACTGTGCATGGAAACTTTACTACTGCCCAATTTAGACACACCAATACCAACGGGGGAGAGTTTATGATCAGCTTCTCCGACAGGAAACTTAATTTATGATCGGAAGGGGGGGGGGCGAATTCGAGATCCCCCCGAAACAAGAACCCGACCACTGTCTTACTTACCCGGGGAGGGAGGGGGCGGGCTCTCAACGGTCGTCCAGGTGTAGGTGTCGT